GCAGTTTCGAACCTTCTCTCCTGTGGCTTCATCGTTTGTGTATATTTGCCATCAGATTCCCAAACTGCTCTGCTCGACATGTGAGGTGCCTGATTAGCACGCATGTGTGGGGGTATTTTCGTCATTTTATCAATTTACAGCTGGTTTTGGTTCTTCGTTGTAGTTTTTATACTGTGGGTTTCGTGGTGTTGTGTGTAGTGTGTCGTCGTGGATCTGACCAATCGTTAAAATAAGGAAGCTTTTGGAAATCTTAAAGCTGAAAATTACTAAAATAAGAGTTGTGACATTATAAATAATGCGCTAAAATAAGTAAGCTGCACAGTTAAATACCAGACTTTGGAAAATTGAAATATTTTTTTTATAAATATAAGTGTCACAAAATTCAATTGCATTTTTTATTTATTTTTAGTATTTGCCAAAAAAATAATGTGAATTATGGCTATGCTCGACTGCGATTGGCAAGTTGGCACAACAGCTACATATGGTTTCACACACTCAAAAGCGCTTCCTTGTTAAGGAAAAAATGAAAAGAAAAAAGCACTAATGTTGCCCTAAGTAGATAATTTGCCCTTTTAAGTCTACACGAGACTACTATCCCCACAGTTTTGAATGAGATTAAATTTGATTGAGTCCGGTATAATGTGTCATGCATATTAACTTAGGCCAACACGAAAAAAGTCGAATCTTCAACCTGCGTGTGATTGCATCGCTACGATTATTAACTTTCTTTTTAGCACAAGTATCGCTATCAAATTAAGACTTATTATATATTTAGATTTGACCCTACAACAAGATACGCATCTTTGCGAAACCAAAATAACCAGAGGTTAAGTAACATTATTATTTCTGAGGTAGGGTTGAGTCAAACTAATCATAACTCATGCATTACCATTTCTCACGCTTTTCTTACTTCATTATTAGTACCAAAGATTACAACGTCGCCTCTCTATTGTTTTGTTTTATTCTTTGTTCTTTTTCTCTCTGTTTTTTTTTTTTTTTGTTATTGTCTTTATTTATGTGATGGGTGTAACTATTGGTTGAGGAGGTCAAACATAAACTTTTGCTTTCCTCGATATGATCTTTTTTATGCACTTTAGTTTGAGGCAATCAAACAAACATCAATTCAAAAGATTATATTTGATTAAGGTTTTGAATGTTAATCATTGGGATTCAACTTGGCGTGCTAAAGGGGACCGAAAAAGAACAAAAAGAAAGGGAAAAAATGATATCACATTGGTTTTTTGGAGAGGTAGTCCAAAGAACCCGATAGATTCAACAAGGAAAAGTGAGAATCAAATCTTCACGCAAATCTAAACCCACTTTAATTTAGATGATTAGAAATGTAATTAGTGGAAGTATGGATGTGTCAAATGATTTTCTTTTTCTTCCATTTCATTAACTTTAATAATTCATATGCTATATGCACCGAAACAAATCGATGATTTTAGTAAAAATTACGAATCACATATTCAAGCGTCCATTTGATTGATACGTATGAACGATAAATTAATAGATTAATTGATATTATGCAAAGTTGATCATTCAATGGTAATTTTATAAAATAAATTATTTCAATTATGATACATGCATGATAAAGATATGTTAATGCTCAAGAGAGTGAACAATGTCCTATCTAACCACTATTTAGTAAGTTAATATCATACAAATGCTAGAGTTGAGCTAGTGCCAGTAGTTGCTAACCATCAACGCATTGTGAGACCTATATGCATCAACGACTGATAATCATCCCCATACGCTAAAGCGGTTAGTACCTCCACTCCAAATACCTTTTTGGGGGGGGGGATGAAGTACTGTGCTTGATTTTTTTTATATATAAATAGTTGTCAGATTTTTCTAGAGACTGTGCGAATGACAGTTTGACCCAAACGTTACTCAGTAGGTGGAAATTTACAGTAACAGTGACAGCTTCACTAAAAGCCCAGTAAATGAAAAAACTGGTCCAAAAGTGGCCCGGAGTAGAGTTAGGAAGCTTGTACGAGATTCTTGTTGGTAATGTCTTGTAGTTTACAAGCCCTGGCCCACCCTCTTATCCTTTCTCTTGGCAATGATCAATTTATTCATGGTTGTGGGCCCATCTAAGGTTTTCCAATCTAAGAAGTAAAAAAGAATCTAAAGAAGAAAAAACAAAAGAAAGGCCCATAAATATAATGTTGGCAATCGGCATGAGTTTTGATATGATATGATATGATGTAGGGGTGCCTTGGTGGAACATTCTGGAGCGTTGGGTCAATGGTCACATCAGGTGCACGCCAGCGTGCACGACATGATAAACGCCTGGAATCTAATATTGGACACGTGTATCTCACACGTGGCACCTTATCGTTAGATGATCACCCTAATCAAAGAAACGTCCCGAGCCAATTTTGGACCGTTCTTCGCTCTCGTGGGGCTTCTTATGGGACTCAAGGTCACACCGGAGTCAGGGATGGGGTGCGGAAGAAATGCTTCCATGAAGTGGGGATATTATTGTTTAGTTATTTTCGCGTGATATAATGTAATTGATAGAGAATAGCAAAATAATAATACTCTCGTTGCAACCAAGTTTTTCTTGAGAGTAAGGTCCTACGTGGGTCCCCGTGTTGTATGCTTCATGCAGTGTCAAAACAGTCCTTTATATGAAATGAAAAGGGCCGAAAAGAAAGATGGGAAAGGGGCCGCATTTAAGTTTAGTCCAACAACTTCTTAATGGGCCATAGTCAAGCCTTTTAATTTGTACGACGGATGAAGAGTAGTCGTTTTCGAATCTCGGGATACGCTTTAAGAAAAATTAAGTATTAGACATATACCCCTACCTAATTTGGGACTAAAGCTCCCCTTTATGTCATGCGGGTTGCGTTTCCGCGGAAAATGAAAGAGGAGTTTGGGACGCTTCAATTTTGTACTTAATTGGCATGCTTGCAAGAGTTGCTAAACGCATGCTTTTTTCTAGTTTTATTGTGTTTTGGGCCTAATTATCCACTAAACCCAAAACCACTCTCTCATCTCAACTTCTTTTCTTCACACTCAAAATGAATTCTAAAATTTTATTTGTATTCATCAATTAGTTCCTAATTTAGGTTTAGTCTTAAGTTTGAATTCTAAATTTGCAAAAAGAAGTTAAATTAATATCATCATCATGCTTCATCACTTATTATAAGTAATATTCAAAAGTTGTTGGTCGGTCAAAAAATTGAACAAATACACTTTTCAAGAAAGCTGAGAAGTATATGTGTACAAAAAAGACTTGAAAGTAAGTTATCTTACTACAAAGAAGGCATTATTCACACTCCCCTATATTCATGCCCTTTCTAAATCTTAAGAAGAGGAATGCTATTCACAATCGCTCAAAAACTAGAAATAGACTACTTTTGCTATGGTAAAAAAATTGACTAAATGCCAATGAGAGGATTGGTTCAGTTGGTAAGGTTTCTGCACTGTGTGTAACCCTATTAGTATTTGAGTCACATTGCCAGTAATTCTCTTTGGTGCGCGATTTGTAATTTCATACATAAATCCATACAAATGGTAGTTGGTAGTTGGTTTGAATGCCAGGCATAAGTCTTTCCGATTCGAGATTGTGGATCTACCTTGACGTTAATTGTGAGAGTAGCCAATCTCCCCCCTAAACTTAGACCAAATTTAAAGTCTCTATGGCTCCATCTAACTGTGTGCTCAGCCACTTGTACTTTTCTAACATCACTTGAGCATCTGCTAAATCACCCACCACAAATTGCGCGTGGGATTGGCATCGAATCATCGTGAATATAAAAACGCCAGGTTTCTTTGTTGAGCACAAAATTTACCAGACGCCCATGGCCACCGAAGCTCCCGGCTATACGACCCGATTTATCGTCTCCCTTTCAACTCGACAACCCGATTGCCCTGCTCCGTTTCGGAAGCTGCTATATTCCCTCGAAACGGGTCAGTCCTCCCCCTCTCTCTCTCTCTCTCTCTCTCTCTCTCTCTCTCTCTCTCTCTCTCTCTCTCTCTCTCTCTCTCTCTCTCTCTCTCTCTCTCTCTCTCTCTCTCTCTCTCTCTCTCTCTCTCTCTCTCTCTCTCTCTCTCTCTCTCTCTCTCTCTCTCTCTCTCTCTCTCTCTCTCTCTCTCTCTCTCTCTCTCTCTCTCTCTCTCTCTCTCTCTCTCTCTCTCTCTCTCTCTCTCTCTCTCTCTCTCTCTCTCTCTCTCTCTCTCTCTCTCTCTCTCTCTCTCTCTCTCTCTCTCTCTCTCTCTCTCTCTCTCTCTCTCTCTCTCTCTCTCTCTCTCTCTCTCTCTCTCTCTCTCTCTCTCTCTCTCTCTCTCTCTCTCTCTCTCTCTCTCTCTCTCTCTCTCTCTCTCTCTCTCTCTCTCTCTCTCTCTCTCTCTCTCTCTCTCTCTCTCTCTCTCTCTCTCTCTCTCTCTCTCTCTCTCTCTCTCTCTCTCTCTCTCTCTCTCCCAAAACCACTGTTTATTTATTTATTTTTGCTTTCCTTAATCTGAAGATAGTAATTGTTAACAGTAATTGTGTCTTACTACAAAGAAGGCATTATTCACACTCCCCTATATTCATGCCCTTTCTAAATCTTAAGAATGCATGATGTTTTGGGGCTTCCCTATAAACTAGAAATAGACTACTTTTGCTATGGTAAAAAAATTGACTAAATGCCAATGAGAGGATTGGTTCAGTTGGTAAGGTTTCTGCACTGTGTGTAACCCTATTAGTATTTGAGTCACATTGCCAGTAATTCTCTTTGGTGCGCGATTTGTAATTTCATACATAAATCCATACAAATGGTAGTTGGTAGTTGGTTTGAATGCCAGGCATAAGTCTTTCCAATTCGAGATTGTGGATCTACCTTGACGTTAATTGTGAGAGTAGCCAATCTCCCCCCTAAACTTAGACCAAATTTAAAGTCTCTATGGCTCCATCTAACTGTGTGCTCAGCCACTTGTACTTTTCTAACATCACTTGAGCATCTGCTAAATCACCCACCACAAATTGCGCGTGGGATTGGCATCGAATCATCGTGAATATAAAAACGCCAGGTTTCTTTGTTGAGCACAAAATTTACCAGACGCCCATGGCCACCGAAGCTCCCGGCTATACGACCCGATTTATCGTCTCCCTTTCAACTCGACAACCCGATTGCCCTGCTCCGTTTCGGAAGCTGCTATATTCCCTCGAAACGGGTCAGTCCTCCCCCTCTCTCTCTCTCTCTCTCTCTCTCTCTCTCTCTCTCTCTCTCCCAAAACCACTGTTTATTTATTTATTTTTGCTTTCCTTAATCTGAAGATAGTAATTGTTAACAGTAATTGTTGAACTCTAGTGAAAACCTTAATCTGATTGATTTCGATTCAATTTACTTGTTCATTTCTTTTTAGAAGAAGAAAATTATTTCTTTTGGAATTTTTTATTTGCAATTGGGGTTTTGATAAACCTTAGATTACAGGAGATATAATGTTAATTGTTATACACTTGTTCTAGTAGTATGAATGCCATAGAATTAAATTAATTAATCCTTAATTAATAATAGTTGTGCCCAAAAGATATCCTTTTGGAGGGTTTTTGATGGATAAGTAATGATGTGGTAGCTTTGCCTGTAAATTGGGCTTATTTCCTATCCATTTTATCTTGTTGTGGCTCAATGTTTCTTTTTTATGACACGAACAGACCAGTGAAGATTGCAAGTGTTGTAGCAATGAGTGATGCAATTGATTTGAGCGGGGATGGAGGGGTCCTCAAGAAAATTGTAAGGCATGCAAAACCAGATGCAATTGCTCCGACCCAAGACCTTCCCCTCGTTGATGGTATGAACTATATTCAAGTGCTGTTGCTGATATTTATTTGTTAATGGTGTAGTAACAACATTTTCTAATTAACTCGGGCGAAATGACCTAGCGAACTTGTCCTTACTCTGTGCCTATCATCACATACTTTATGTTGGGCAGTTCATTATGAAGGCATTCTTGAGGAAACCAACGAAGTTTTTGATACAACACATGAAGATAACACGGTTTTCTCATTTGAGCTGGGGAAGGGCAGTGTAATCAAGGCTTGGGATATTGCAGTGAAAACCATGAAGGTCAAAATGTGTTTCTGAGTTTCTCTTTAAGAAATTTAGTAGGTGTTCAAGTCTCCTGTACATGTTTTATCTTTTGTTGGTTTTACCAGGTTGGGGAGATTGCTAAAATCACTTGCAAGCCAGAATATGCCTATGGAAGTGCGGGTTCTCCACCAGATATTCCACCCGAGTAATTTCATTGCTCTAACTTTTCTATCAAAGTTGTTCTAAGAGAAAACAATCAAAGATGCTAGTAACTTTGTGAACTTAAAGATATATATGTCCATTGATATTCCAAAACAACGTTTTTGGAGAGATTAGTTCTATGTTGATAGGACCTTGACCGGGCTTATTTCAGTCCCAAACATGGGATTGTATAATGCTTATTGGCAACAATTACATCCAAGCCTTGAAATATGAAATAAGAGTTATTAGGTTGTTGATCTTCGACACCCAACTTTAAACCAAGATATCTAATATATAGATGTAGAATCTTCAGAAGCATGTTGGAAAGAAAAGTATAAAGACATCCCGGTGGTAAGACTCCAATTTGTGCATTAAGCATTTTGGTTTATGATTACATCCAAGTGTTCATAAAAGTCTGCATCAGTTTGCTTTGTCAATCGTCTTTATTTCTTATCACAAATGGCGTCTCTTTACCATTTCTTTGTAACTAATGCATAGTCCATTACAAATATATTCTGCAGGGCAACCCTTATATTTGAGGTGGAGTTGGTGGCTTGCAATCCACGGAAGGGATTAAGTTTGGGTAGTGCCTCAGAAGAAAGGGCCAGGCTAGAGTAAGTTTTATGCTTTTATCTGTTCCGTGACTTGTTCTCGAGATATAGTGCAAGTCACATTGTTATCGTTATTCTTGTTGTTGGTTCCGTTGAGATCTACCAACTTTCATAAACAGTATGATGGATTAAATTGCATATTGGTACTCACAACAGAGAACTGAAGAAGCAGAGGGAGATGGCTGCTGCAAACAAAGAGGAAGAGAAGAAGAAGAGAGAAGAGGCGAAAGCTGCTGCTGCTGCTCGTATTCAAGCTAAGTTAGATTCCAAGAAGGGTGGAAAGGGAAAAGGCAAAGGAAAATAGGCGCTTAAACACATCTTTGCATGAACGTGATCCTTCATATACAATAAATAAAATTTTATTCATGAGTTAGACCGAACCGTGACCTTTGTTCGACTTCACAGTATGACTTTGAATGACCTATTATTGTATCTACTATAAGCTTATGTCAAGCATATTCGACGTACTAATGGGTTATTGTACTTCCCTTTTTTAATATGGAAATATCTGAGATATTGTATTTCAAATCCATGCTTGTGTTTACCCTTGCTGAATAATTGCTTTTCTTTTCCGCCGGGTTAGATTGAAAATTTCGATTCTGATAAATTTCTGAGTTTGGAAGTTTTAATTCTAAGTGAATTTCGGAATTTTCAGATCAAATATGTCTACCTCTTGGAAACTCAAGCCATTAGGTCCAACACAAGTCCCGAGCAAACAAGCTTCTGTCATAAATTTCAGACCGATCAGATAATTCCATTAATACGGATTTGAAGAAATCAAATCAAATACACAAAACTTGTTGTATTAAGGACACAATATTCTGCCATTCCAATGCCTATGTCACGATAATTACAGCAATGCTGGGCATAAGCTCCATGTGCCTAACTATGCAGGTGGTACATCTACTAGTTACACTGTTAATAATCAAACCATGTACGAAGGATCCATTCCACCTTGTCCATTTTCATGCCACCCCACCGATCCTGCTCTGAATTTACACACTGGGCAGGTTCCCTGTTGCCTCAGCCAAGGATCTATGCAACTAGCATGGAACTGCAGCAAAGCAACATCAAAATTATATCAAAAAAAGATTTTTGAATACAAAACATCATTACAAAGTGCATTTTATAATATCATGGATCACAAAAACATACCAAGACAACCCCTTACAGTTTAAACTCAAATTACTTACAGGTTTTGGTATGCAAAATGATTCCACTAGTCAAGTTAGCTAAAGATCAATTCCTCAGATGCTGTGTTTTCTGTTCATATTTCGTGTGAGTGTGACAGTGTGTGCATGTGCGTGGGTATGCGTTTGCATGTGTGCCTTTTGTGGAATCAATGCAAATAATTTACTCTAGCAAGAACTCCCTAAAAATCCCACAACAGAAAAATATAGGAAATATAATACCAACAATGTTAAGCCACTGAAAAAAGTAACTGAACCTGATGCATGCAAGGAAGGCTGCGGATTAGTTCTCCCACGTTAACTTGCTCCAAGCAAACACTGCAAGTCAGTTCATCTTCTGAGGCTTTTGTGCTCCCAACTGTGTTAGCAGTTTCTTGCTTCTTCTGCTAAATAGAAGAGAGAAAATACAATGGTACAGAGATAAATGCAACGCTATCATATGATATGAGATTATATAGTATGTTAGAAATTTCCCGTCAGAAGGGCGGAAATTACAAAAGGACAAAGGGATAGTTTATAGCGAATACCTCAGAGGGTGCTGAAGATGAAGCTTGTTGAATCGATGAAGCACCACTGCATTCAGAACAGAACCATATAAAATATTAGGCAACTATGATTCAATTCTTCCATTTGCCTCAAAATAGTATGAACATGTGGGGCTTCGGCCCCGCCGTCATACCAAAATAATATGAGCATGTAAACAACATAACAAAATCTCTCAATTCTTTTGGTCCAAATCCCCTTAGTTGTCAATGCTTCTAATCAACCACTCAGGAAAAACAGAGTGGAACCCTATACAACACTAAACTTAACTCTCAGCTCCAAATTTGTGGAACTAAATTCATTTATGTATTATAAGCGTAAAAGACACACTACAGATTCGATACAACACTAACTCAAGCCAAATGTATATGTTCAAACAGGTGCGTGCACAAATAAGCAGACAAAACATAACTTATTAAGATGTGAAGTTCACTTAGTTAATTACAAAATGTCTTTTGGAGAAGGATGGAAAACCAACAAAAATAAGGAATCTATTTATCATCTGCCAAAACGCTAGTGCAACAACCAAGCTCACAAATAAAACTAGAGAACTTACGTCTGAAGACCCATAACCTTGTATTTATGGACTGGAAGAGCATTTATCTCTTCC